TGTTTTGTTGTATCTATTTACCGTATTTATTTCATTTTTATGCCACCCATTTGGCCAATGGCCACCCTGGACAGTTCCCAGGATGAAAATAACAATCATAACACAACACGACTAAAAAAAAAAACCCCAAGGTAAACACAAGATAGACCATATATTTTGGAATACATAAAGACCTTTAAAAGTCACTGGTGGTTAGATCAGGTGAGAGGCTAATAGGTTCCGCGGGGTCTCCACGGACAGATTATTTTGATACGCCAACTCTGGCCAAGGGCTTCCCCTTCTTCCCCCTCAAACTCATGTCAGATCCCAGCTGGAAAGAGGAAGGAAGTGGACGTGATCCACAGAAAGCTCGCATTCGAATATGGTACCTCGTCTTCCGGGTGCCGCAACGTTTTTTGTCTGTTGGGAAGCACTCCCCTTGCAAGACGACCTGAGGGTGTCTCTCCCCCGCCCCACCCACGCCAAAAGTGCAGGTTTCCATAGTGACTCTTTAGTGTTGCAGGAGAAACAACGAGAATGAGTTTTGTGGCTCCCGAAACGTTTTGCTTGGCATCAGCAGACATGGGCTGCAATCCACAAAAAAAAGGTATGCCAAGCAAATCCGGCCGGGTACCAAAGTACCACAAGATTCATTGTTTTAGAATACACTGGTTAAAAGGAGTGAATGATGGAGGGTCGTGTTTTATGTTTGTTTTGGAGGGAACCTTTCTGAAAATAAGTTGCTCTGTATGTCATGTCTGTGCATGCTCCTCTCTGCAAAGCATGGAATCACATCCCCCCTTGCAAATCATCTAAAACCCCACATAATGGTCAAAGTTGCCCGTTCTAAGCACCGAAGAAGGCTTGAGTCAGTCAAGCACAATGTGCTATATAGCAGCCTCTATCGCTGTGTTATGGCCTCCGTTTTTTATACTGACATGTTCTGCATGCCTTTGGGTGACAAGAGTAGCTAAAGCAGACATTTCTGAACAAAGCATAACATTTGTCCTGTTGCGTGTTCACATGCTTTTCTGCATGTTAATCTATATCTCCATTATTCATTGCATGCATAACCCCTATTCTCATCACTCATTTTTCTTTACAACTCATCCTTGTTATTTTCTTTTCTCACCCTAATTTCATGCACTGTGTAGATGCTGCTTAACCCACTGTTATCAAACCCCCCCCACTTCACCTATGTTTTGGATATTGTCCTATATACAGGCTTGCAGTAGTTGCACTAGAGCATTCCCCTTTAAACACAAACCCCCTTTCCCCTTTGCACAACATACCCTTCTTCATAGTTGCGTCTGCTGTGTAGCATAAATACGGAAGTTATCTTGATCTTAATAACCCTCCTACAACTTCCTGTGCTGAGGTGGGCCACAACCTGTTGGTATTATGTGCTATCAAGTCACTTAAGACTTGCAATGACCCTCTGAATGATTTATTGAGTTCTCTAACGTCTATATCACCTAGTAGTGCAATACACACTCTCTGGGCGGTCAAACAACTCACGCATATAAACTACAGATAATACAGTGCCCAATTAGAATCATTGACAAACAATCTTATCACTCTGATTGCAGTAGATGTCAACAGTATCCTTGAATTCCTTTATTTATTTATTTAACCCCAGTTCTTTGATGTTTCCAGAAAAAGAAGTCTGTGGACATAATTTTGGACTGAGTGACACCCCCCCCCAAAAAAATATCAAGACTGTAGCATTCAGTTGAGAGCAAATGAAGAGGGTAGACTTATGCTCAGAGGCTTCCTCTGATTAAAGGCGAAGGCAAGAATAGCCCAGATATTCAACTGTACCAGATTTGCTTAGTGACGACCTGTTGCTGAAAGTTTTGGTGGGGAGACGTATGATATTTGGTAAAGTCTGTTTGTTGATTCATCTTCCTCTGCACACATACCAACGTTGGTAGCCACCTTTTGTGGCGTGCATGCTGTGTGCCCGCCATCTGCAAGTCTTCAGTCTCAGGATCTACAATTTCTTGCAAAGTTGGGAGTTTCTCTGTTCACTGAGCCTGCTTTAGGCAAAAATCTTCCATCACTGATTTTGTTGCAGTCTTTGTAACAGTCTTACTTTTCATTTGACCCTTCAAAAGTTGAATTGGGCTTGGGGTTTCCCTGAATACCATCTCTGTACGTGTCATAGACTTCTTAAAGGAGGCTGATGTGTGATTCTGGCTTTGCCATTATCTCTCTCTTTCTCTCATCCCTGAAAATGTGATTGAAGTAAAAATTTTAGAAGGGGAATAGGGAAAGTAGCCAAGTATTATCTAGTATTTATGAATATTGTATCAAAGGAAGAAGAATCATTGTAGAAAGCTGATTGCCCTGTCCTTCCCTAATTTGTCTTATGATTCGTTTTCATGAGCAACTGGAATGGCTGAGCCATTTTCCCCCCTTCTGTGTCAAATATTTAAGATTTGCCACTGCTTTTGTCACATAACCAAACCAAACATGCTAAGGTTTTATAAAATTTTAGATAATTTTGGGGGAGCAGTAATTCACCAATGTATAGTGTTTGTTGTTCCTTTTCATTGAAGGGGTGAGCTGTGTAATTAGCTATTTTATGAAATGTAGAGGCATTTATAGAATTGTAAAACTTTAGGTGGGGAGAAAAAACCAGTAGTTGAAGAACATCAGCATTGAGCAGGGGTTTTGGACTTGATGGCCTTGTAGGCCCCTTCCCTTTTCTATGATTCTATGATCAGTAAAAGTGTTTTGAAAATAAATCTCCTGGTATATAAGAATATTCCCTCATGTATTTTTCAATTTAGAGGCTACCTGGGCATATCTTCTTTCATCTGTATTCTGCTGCATGGTTATTTGGAAAGAAGGCAAATTGTGTTTGGAACTGAAGTGTGTTGTAGAGCTGTGATTTTAATTTACATTTATAAATGGATTTTTAATTAGATTACAACCTGTTTTTCCATGGGGCACTTCAGTGCAGCTGGTATGAAGCTTCCAGAGAATCTTTCAGCCATGCGCTCATCAGTCTGAGACCGGATTAACTTTTCCACTGCAGCACCCATGATCGCATGTCCTGCGGGCTCTAGTGACCAGTTAACATGAGCCAGTTGAAGAAGTTCTCGCACAGTAGGAGGGTCAATAAATAGGCAGCAGTGTTTCCTTTCTTCACAGACACAGCTGCTGCAGCATCTCTCCCTGAGCGCAGAGGCTTGGCGTAGCTTTTTCATGGCATACAGTCTTATTTCCAGAAAGCACAGTATTTGGTGCAAACGGGCAATCCTTTTTTTCAACAAAGAAAAACTTGCTAATCATGGTGGTCTACTGACTGTCCGAGGGTATTAGCATTTTTTTTAAAAAAAAAATTGGGCTAGGAGTTATGAGCGCATATTTAAAAAGGGCAAACTTCATCCGTTAGCAGTCCCAGATTAACATGGTTTAAGAGGGAGTGTTACAAGTTTAATATATGGATTGGTCTTTCGTGTGAAGTATCAACCTTTGCAGACTAGCACAGTACTGTACTGCTTTCGCTTTCTTGGGAAAGAGTTGAATTTTTCTTTCCTCGTAAAGATGTGCTTGGTAAGTAGAATAAGGAGACTGAGAGAATGAGTCTGTTTATATCTAGTTACAGAGACCATTTAATAGACTATATTCTAGGTAGGCATGCCATATCAACCTTTGCAGACTAGCACAACACTGCGTTCATTTTCTTGGGAAAGAGTTGAATTTCTCTTTCCTCGTAAAGGTGTGCTTGGTAAATAGAATAAGGAGGCTGAGAGGATGAGTCTGTTTATATCTAGATACAGAGACCACTTAATAGACTATATTCTAGGTAGGCATGCCAGAAACAGATTCCATTTCTTTCTTTAGTTCTGCTTCCGCTAAGCCTCCAGTAGCTATATTCTCATTCATTTTAAACATCTCATTCAATGACTGCTCCATACAGAATCTAGAGAAGTTCATCAAGAGAAAGCTGTGCAAATAAGGGAGCATAGGAGAAGCATCATGTATTTTTTCCTCTGTGAAGTAGCAAACCCAGTTGCAAAAAGTAGATTTTGACAATATTCAAGGAAGAAGTACAGTAGATGTAGCCCTGTCCAGCATGATATTAGCTAGACTTCTCTCCCTGCAGCTCACACGTGTGATCATTTTAGCCTAGGCTTCTTAACGTTACCATCTCATTTGCTACACTGCTCTCGCCGATGATGTGTCTGAAGGAAGGGATTAGGGTTGATGGCTTTAAAGGTTTGTCAGGAATGTTAAACTGTTGACTCTTAAGCTATCTATAATATAATGGATTACAATATTAGAACTCCTCTTTGATTTGGCAGCATTCTTCAGTGTGTAGCACATTCCAACCCTGTTAGTCCTCTAGATTCCCCTTTTTCTCCATGGGTTTGATTTAGAGGAGAAACACTAAAAAAATTCATTTTTCTTTTCTGAGAAATGGGAAAGCTTTTATTAAAGATGTGGCCGATTACTTTTCAATTTGCAATTTTTAGCAGGATTTCCCCTCCCCTTTGAGAAATCAGGGCTTTCAATAGAGAGGGAAGGAGGGAAGGTTAGGTTTTTAGTTATGTCATTAGAAATTTTCCCTCAGTTTTCATCAGCATTCATTTCTGACATTGTGTGTGTTTTTTTGGGATACAAATGAAAAACGAAGCTCTTGGCAATGGCAACCAAAGCTATCTTATCACAAATAAAACATGGTGTAACCTTTTTTGCCCAGGTTCAACAGCAAGTCCATCCCAACCTTTCCGCCAAGGAAGATTCCCTCTACTACATCGAGGAGTTAATCCTGCAGCTGCTGAACAAGCTCTGTGTCGCACAGCCACGAACGTTTCAAGATGTAGAGGTAGGAATGCTGGTGAAAAAAAACCCAGATGTTTCCTTACAAAACAATGCTGGTTTAAGAAAAAAGGAATTGAAAAACTGCTCTTGTAATCTAAGCCAAATCACAGCGTGAGTGATCCTGTTGGAAAGGGAGTAGTAGGCGTCATTTATAAAGTAGGAGGCATCTCCACAGCGCAGCTCAGAGCTGTAGAATTATGCAGAGCCATTGGAAGACCAGGGAGGGAGGGAGAGCATCCATAGCCTCTTGAACCAGGCAGGCATGGACCAGCTACTGCCAGGCATAAAGAAAGTAGAAGGCAGGCGCTTGTCTTGGGGAGGCGTTTTGCTCTGCAAAATGCTTATAAACATTTGTTTTCAGTGCACAGTACTTAAGAGCCGTGCTTCAGAGAAGCTGCTTTTTTGCTCCCACAAATAAACCCGTGGAAAGACTGGGCTAGAAAACATGTACTCACTGTGCTGAGCTGCTTCGCACTCGAGAAATGAAAGCTCACAAACCAGTTATGAGGACTAATTTAAAAGAAGAGTAAGCCAGGTGGCTCCTGTAGAACCAAAAACACCTGTTGAGAGGAGAGGAGAAAAACCAAATCCCACGTTGTTATGGACCCTGGAGAAGTGGGTGATCAACGTTTCCTCTGGGAGTGCAGAAACTGTTTTCAGATCTGTGCCTTAACATTTGGGCAGAAGCACATTCAGCAGCATTGCCATTTCACAGAACCTTGTCCATGCTTGGTGTTTTCTACTTGGGCAGGAGCGCGTTCAGAAGACCTTTCCGTACCCAATTGACAAGTGGGCCATGGCGGACGCGCAGTCGGCTATTGAGAAGAGGAAGCGAAGGAACCCCCTCCTCCTGCCAGTGGAGAAAATCCATCCTTTATTAAAGGTCTGTTTTGCCAAGAGCTATCAGTTGGTGTGGGAAAGGGTTGGTTTCCGTTGCAAAGGTTGAGTCTTGTTTCCTGACTCTTCCTTGAGGATCTTTAGCATTAGCAAATTCTGCTCTGAAGTGTTTGGAGCAACAATTCAAGAGAATAGGCCGAGGCCCGGACAGGGTCTTTATTTTTTTGTTCCTTTGGAAGCACAGCTAGTGCCAGTTGCAATATTTATAAATAGGCTTCCTCCTTCCTCAGAGGCTTTCCTTACCACCACCAGCAAATTCTGAAGTCCAGCCCCTCATTCACATATTGAAAGTAAAGAAGGGGAAGTCAGAAAGGGCAGTAAGATCATCCGTCTCAGTGTCCCGAGCAGCATCCTAAATACAGGCTAGACTGCCTGGCAGAAAGTTGAGTCGTCTCTTGCTTCAGCCGTTGCCACGGCTGCTGCCTGTCAGTGCGCCTTCCCACGGCTTGCCAGCTTGCGTTTGCTCACATTCAAGCAGATCGGATGTGACTGTGCATCTTATTTCTGTGTCAACTTTCAGGAGGTTCTTGGTTATAAAATAGATTATCATGTGTCCCTTTACATTGTGGCCGTCCTGGAATATATTGCGGCTGACATCTTGAAACTGGCTGGCAATTATGTTTTCAACATACGGCACTTTGAGATTTCCCAGCAGGACATTAAAGTATCCATGTGTGCAGATAAGGTAAGGAGCCATGGCGTCCTGAGCTTGTATAAGTGCTTTCTGTGCATCCTGATTCTTTGTCCATGTGTCTTTGTGGTTCTTAGTAATGGGTGCATTTTACCACTATTTAGGAATGCTGTCTAGGGTCATTTTTCTGCAAGCAGGAAGCTTCTAGAGAGTCTGAAATGCCACAGTGACTGGTTACAGGGAACATATAATTCCCCTTTTTACAACAACTCCATTGGCTGCTGATCCATTTCCAGGCACAGTTCAAAGTGCTGGTTTTAACCTATAAAACTCTAAATGGCTTGGGTCCAAGTTATCTAAAACAGGGGTCCCCAATCCCTAGTCTGCGGCCCAGTGCCGGTCCGTGGGCTTCCTTGAACTGGGCCATGAACACGGATCTACGCCCCCCCATGCATGGTGGGTGTGTCGCACTCCCGGGTGACACACCCACCCGCGAGCGCAGGGGTGCCCCCCCCACAGAGCCCACAACTCAACCAGTCCACAGTCCCAAAAAGGTTGGGGACTGCTGATCTAAAATACTGTATCTGCCTCTATGAGCTTACTCGGGCATTAAGATAATCATGGGAGGGTTTTCTCTGAGATCCGCCACCCTCACAAGTGCACTTGGTGGAGACACGGGAGAGGGCCTTCTCTGTGGCTGCTTCCAGAGACTCTGGAACTTCCTCCCACTGGAGGCCAGCCTAGCCTGTCTTTTCTGTCTTTCTGCAACGAGACAAAGACCTTTCTCTTCAGGCCGGCTTTTCCTTAGTGATTAGGAGTCTGAGAGGGTTTCCTCCAATTGGATTTTTGTGCTCTGTTGCTTTTATGTGTGTATTTAGTATTGATTTTAATTACAATTTTTAATATACCTGTTTAATTCTCTTAATATTTCTATACTTACTGTTTTTAGCTTTTAAATAATGTCTTTTTAACAATGTAAGCCACCTTGGGTCCTTTTAAGGAGGAAGATCGGGTAACAAAGTTTTAAATAAACAAATATTTCCTTCTCAGAGAGATATTGGGAATGTTTTCTCTGTAAAATGTTCACATAGGCAAAACAACATTCAGTTCAACAGTTTTCAGTCAAGCAGTAGCTTTCTGTTTGCCTGTAGAGCATCATGCCATGTATAAAATCCTTCTTCTCTTTCTAGGTGTTGATGGATATGTTTGATCAGGATGACATTGGCTTAGTTTCTCTGTGTGAAGAAGAACCCTCTTCTTCTGGTGAACTCAATTATTATGATCTTGTCAGGACTGAAATTGCGGATGAAAGACAGTACCTGCGGGAGCTAAATCTGATCATCAAAGTATTTCGGGAAGCTTTTTTATCTAACAGAAAGTTGTTCACGCCTAACGTAAGTCTGGTTGCTGAGTCTGCTTTACATTTTGATAGTTGTGCACTTCGAGCTATAGTTAGCAAACTTGATAAAGGTGGAAGTTTCCCCTCTACATTTCTTACCCCAAGAAATAGGAGGGAGGTATCCCATCTTGCAGCTAAACCATGTTTTAAGGAGGAAGAATTCAACTACAGGGGTAAGGAAATAGAGTGAGAATAGGATGGAGTTCCCATGCATGGCAGAAACAAACAGCAGGGAGGACCCCAACAGACTTCACAGAGGGGGAAAATGTCCATCTCTGACAGGTGGAAGTACTTGTGATGAAGAAGGGAGGTGAGCATGAGGCAAGGGAGGAGGAGTCCATGATCTGAACGTATTCTGTGGATTGCTTGAAACATAAAAAATAATTTTAACAAAGGAACTGCTCCTGCTGTTACTTCATGCGCTCCATGAATCACACATATGAGTTTTGTAGCTCAGATGTGCAAAGGTTTGGAACATTCCTGAGTTTAAAAGGGAAGACCATTAGTGCTTTGAAGTGCTTTGGTTTTTATTCTAGTTTTTTTTCACTTGCCATTCAAACTTTATTTGGTAAATTCTTGAAGTATTAATTCTTTTGTAAGAACTGGTATTGTCTGAAAAAGAAATATCATTTTAGGTAATACATTCATCTTCACAGCTTCAATCATCCCCATAAATGATATTTGAAATTTTGACCTTTTTTCCAGACCTTTTTTGATTGTACCAATTAATTTGATGTCATTGTCTTTTATCAAAGTTCTTTTTTTGGGGGGGGGGTAATCTGAATTCCTAGGTAGTTAAATTTTTGCCCTCTGTAAAACCTGTCATTTCGACTAAATTTTCGATCTCCTCTTTCTTCATTTTTTTGGTCAAAACTTATGTTTTTTATTTATTTATTTTAAATCCAGATACTTCTCCAAAAACCCTGGAGAAGGGTCACCATAAGTCAAAATCAACTTGAGAGCACACTGTTGTTAACAATAGCTTATTGTTATAGAGTGCAAGGACTCCCAATGGTCAGAATGGGCTGGGAGCCCATAAGGAAGAAGGCATTCTGTGAGGCTGGCAGGAAGCAGGGGGTTAAAATGCTGTTTCTTAGACAGTCTCAACGGGGGCCATAAGGGCCCTTGGGGGACCTTGGCATATGTGAAGGGGGCCACAGACTGAAAACATGAGAAGTTTGTGACAGAGAATATGTTCATATTATATCTTTGTATGACGGGCACCTGGAACCTAAGAAGGGCCGTGCCCCCCCCCCAAAAAAGAGTTGAGAATGGCTGATCTCGTTGACTGAAATAACCTATTTTTCCCTCAGTTTGAATGTGACCCTCACGTACACTTTCACCAAACAGATGTTGAAATGTGAATGGACAGAGACACATATATGCCTATTCAGGACAGTTCTGTTTTCCTCAGGACATTGACATGATATTTAGCAATATAACGGATATTCACGAATTGACCGTGAAGCTCTTGGGCTTAATTGAGGACACTGTGGAGATGACGGACGAAAGCAGTCCCCATCCTCTGGTTGGCAGCTGTTTTGAGGATCTTGCAGAGGTGAGCTGGGAAAACGGTTCAGTTTGTTTTCTCTTCCCTCTCCATCAGCTTGGTCTATCGAGGAGCGCATGTCTGTGCGTGTAGGGATGACCTGAAACATTTTTGCCTCAGAACAGTGACCCACTGATTCATCTAGGGGCGGTTGGTTTTAGCACACGAGGCAGAAAATCGCACAAATGCCCTCCCACTTCCTGTGGCATGACAGGGACAATGAGAGCAAATTAAATAATTATTTGCAGCCTTTCCAGGACACCTAAAATGTGCTGCTTTAGACGGGGGTGTTACTCCGTCTCACAACAGAGCTGGCTGTACATGCGCATGTTTAGTTATACCCAAAGCTCTACCAATAAAAAGAATGTGCGTATTCTCGAAGACTTTCACGACCAAACAGCCTGAAAACCTACAACAACAAAAAAGAATACATGTTAAAATAATAAATTTTGACAAATTATGGATTAGTTTAGAAGGAGGAGCAAACAATGGCTTTGCGATTGAGATTACTTTTTCAAGTTCTTCCTCTCATGCATAAATCCTTTGCTCCGTTTCCTAATTTTCACTGATTGTAGTTTTCGGTTGTATTCAGATTGAAAAACTTCCATTTTCACAAATGGGTGCCAAACCACAGTTTTCATAAACTGCGATTTGAGGTTAAAGCTAATTATGGCCTGCCACTTTATACCGCATGTTAGACTAGTGCAGACCTGGGCAAAGTGCGGCCTGAGGGCCACATATGGCCTGCGAGCCGCTCCTGTCCGGCCCGCCAGTCGTCGCTCTAATCCAGTGTTCAAGCATTTGCTCAAGCCCAAGACAGACTGGATTTCTCTCACTGAACAAGTTGGACATCAAAACCATTTATAGCTTTTTGTCTAAAGTTGATCAGTTGCTTATCTTTAACATACTGCAAAAAACCTCTTTAGTATTTGTGAAGATTAACAAGTTTAAAATAAAAACAATCATAACATCACTGTTCCATTTTATTTTTAAGTAAAGTTGGTTCGGCCCCCAAACACATTTCAGATTTTACATGTGCCCCCCCCCTATAGAAATTATTTGCCCAACCCTGGACTAGTGTTATAGAAAACAGGGAATAAATGGGAGAGCTCTTGAACAGTGCGAGAGAAGGGAGGATATGAGTTGCACAGACATGGCTGATTTTCAGCCGTGGCTTGCAATGAGCAATGGTTGAGCTGAGCAAGAATCAGATGCATAATTTGTATGAGCAAATGAATAATTTACAAATGACAAGGGAGTCACAATATGTTGAAATCGTTTCTGTGATATGCTTGTAACGTGTTTGGAGGATGTTTCCTGCGAGCTAAATCTTATTCTCCTGCATATTTTCTTGCTTTGCTTCGACTGTGTTAGAAGACTTCTTCGTTCATGTAATGGTGAGTAGGGATATGCCATTCTGTTTTTTGCGACTCTCAACTCCCAGAATTCTTCAGGAATCCCCCAGAGTTCTGGAAGTTCCAACTCTGAGACCTACCCACACCTACATTTTGCTCAGCTCTGAGGCTGCATGTCCCAGCTGTGGCCGTAATGAATTTAAAAAGGAAGTTGCTACAGTGCTTCCTGGAATCATAGTTCTTCAGGAGGCTCCCTCTGTAGATCTACAACTCCCAGGAAGCACCATGTTAAATCAAGGCCCTGCAGGCTTAGAGCTCGGTCCTGGTGCAGAAGGGTGAAATGTTGGGGTGTGTCTGTGGGTTCGAAATCCCAGTATTTTGCCTGCGGAATTCTTGAGGTATTCTGGAAGTTGGAGTCCAAAAAAAGCAATGGCACATCCCTTACTTGGATCTTGTCTGACTCATGTGAACCTTCAGGAGACATAATCTAAATCATCCTGGATTGTATCCCTCTAAATACACAAAAGTACGTATATATTATTATATAATTTGCATTTTCCCCAATAAAGTGCCTGTTACCTTGTACTGCTTACTGTCTCTTCCTAGGAACAAGCCTTTGATCCCTATGAGACCTTATCCCAGGACATCCTTTCACCACAGTATCATGAACATTTTAATAACCTGATGGCTAAACCTGCCGTGGCTTTACATTTCCAGGTATGGATGTGTCAGTGTATTTAGAAGATTCAAACTGAGGCTGTCAGTCAAATGAAATTTAGGAACTACACACCTAGGCTTTCAGTCAAATGAATTTCAAGAGGGTTTGGTTTCCCTCCTGGCAACTTCTACGGACGAAGTTCTGTTTGCTTCTCTCTTTGTGTCTAGTTTGACCTATATCTGACCTGATCTCCTGTAATGTGTTGCTGTTTCGGTAATGTGTTGGTGCTGGTATGGACAGAAGAGTAGGAAGACACACACATGCCCAGGCCTCAGTCTGTTTATAGCAGTCTCTTGTGTTCATCAAAGAGGCTTCTGGGAGTCCTATATACACATAAACTGCAGCCTTGCCAGATACAGCCCTTTGGGAAAACTTTACTTTAAAGCTGTATTCATAAAGCTGTATTCCGCTTTTCAGTTCAATGGGAAAAGTAGCCAGGAAAAGGGAATTTAGGTCCTCTAAAAGTGCTGGAGGAAGACGCTGCTTTGTTTGATGAGAGGGTGCATAACAAATATAGAAAACATCTTTATGGTGGAATCGGGCAATAGGTGCCATGTAAAAGGAAGCTCCTTGTTCCTAGCTTTAACAAGTAAAATCTTTATAATCTTCTAAACCACGGTCTGAACTAGGGCTTGCATGAGGTTTCCTTGTTCGGTTCAGAGGCCAGCGGGTGATATTCCTGTTTTATCTAAAGCAACTCAGGCTTTGTCAGGTGTGATTCAGGTTTTGAATTCAAACTACAGTCCAGAAATCCAAATCACCCGCTCTCCCATTGACTTGTATTACCAAAAGGACTGTAGTGTTTCGTTAGTAAATGGTAATAACATGGGATTGGAAACACGAGAGACCCTAAACAGGTGAGTACACAAATGTGCCACATTTCATACAGTTACCTTCGGAGATGTGCATACCAGGCTCCATTGAATTTTGCGTTTTTAAAGTGGCTGAAATCCTGTGGGCTTTTTATGCCAGCATATTGGAATGGTGTAAATAGTTACCCTGTTTTCCCGAAAATAAGACCTAACCTGAAAATAAGCCTTAGTATGATTTTTCAGGATGCTCATAATATAAGCCCTACCCCAAAAATAAGCCCCAGTTAAGTGAAACTTCTGGTTGCTGCACAAACACATTGTGTAGTAACCAGAAGATGACATAACTGTAAAATAAAATATCCCCTGACAATAAGCCCTAATGCATTTTTGGAGCAAAAATTAATATGACCCTGTCTTATTTTCGGGGAAACATGGTAACAAGTTGCTGATTATATTTCGTTTCTCAAATTAAGTCATGCCACATCTAGATAGCTTAATACCGTCTGCTGTGCCTGACTAGCAGATGTTGTCTAAGGTCTTAAGCAGGGCTGCTGCATAGTTCTGCTGCCTGAGTACTTTATCTGAAGATGCTGAATCAAAAGCTGGCGCCTTCTGCACTGAAATCAAATTATCTACTACTGATCGTAGTCCCCTGCAGAAGGAGATTGATGTACAGCGCATTCTAGTTTGCTCAGATGTTTTTTGTCGGGGGTGGGACCCTGACTTCTTTTGCAGAAGGTCTACAATACCTAGGTTGTCCCACAGAAAACAACTTAATTATACAATCAGACATTTAAAAAAAATTCTTATGGTCTTTTTTCTTTTTAGGACAACTAATGAATTAAAGTTTGCATTTTGATTTCATTTCCCCCCCCAGTCAATTGCCGATGGCTTTAAAGAAGCAGTGCAGTATGTCCTTCCGAGGCTCATGTTGGTTCCTGTTTATCACTGTTTGCACTACTTTGAATTATTACAGGTGAGAAAACACTCTTCAAAAGAAAGAAGAAACGAGGTAGAAAATATATTCTCATTGAATGGCGAAAGAGAGTGTTTGTGGAACTTGTGTTTTATCTATTGTCAGCTCAAAAAGGATAAGTTTAATTGTTACGTGGAAATTTTAAAAACTTTAAATATTTTCCCTTTGGAATAATATTTGGCGAGGAGGTCATGGGAGACAGAAGAATCTTCTCACGGCGTAAGGCATGGCAGGTTCTCTTTGGCATACGATTTTGTGAACTCCTCCCACTACCTCCTTCAGAGGCAGGAGACTGGAATCAACAAAGGCTTATGCCCCATGAAACTAACTCATCTTTAGGGTACCACAAGACTTTTTTTTCCCTGCAATGTAGTAACCCAGCTGCCCCCTGACCCTAGAAATTTCTGTCTCTTGGTGAACATAAATAAGATCATGGATATGTTATGCTGTTATGCATAAGTGTATCCAGTAACCTAGAATTTAGAAAGGGAAACTGGGGATAGGTAGATAGGCCAACATGAATGAATAATCCTTCGACAGTTCTGAATGGGCCACAAAAGGGCTTGTTGGGATTTTTGCAAAGAATTTGAACGTATTCTTATTCCAGTCTCATTCAGTAAAACTTGCAATAAGCAGAAGTAGTTTCAAGATAATGCTTCATGTACATTACTTACCACTAACTGGGCCAAGATCTTGCATTTATCATTTTAGAACGGATCAATGAGTCACAAGGTTTTAGCTGAACAGAACTGTTTTAAAAGGTTACATGTCTCCAGCCTTCCCACCTCTGGGCTAGGTTATATTGAACGTTCCCTTGCTGCCTGCTTTGCATTCTTCTACCTGCTCCTGGCTTTGAACCCAGCCGGGGTGCGCACAGAGGAATGTCCTCCCCTCAGAACCAAAATACCGCTGTCATGTCCTGCAGGAGTAAACAGTAAGAATTACAGCCAGTCAGGTATAAGGGAATGTGTAGCCTCGAGGCAATGTGTCACGGCAGGCCAAGATTCCTCATGGCTCAAAAAACTTCCCCTTTAGCCATTGCAACTGCCTTTAGGAGCTTGTTGCCTCCACATTAGGTATCACCCTTGGAAATGGATTTGTTATGTGTGCAGGAGAAAGTGACTGCAATGCTGAGCAGGCAATAATTTCATTTTTTTTTAAACGTTCCACAGCATGACTGCTTAGCGTTTTGTTTTACAGTTGGAAGCCATCCCTTGTATGAGCTGAAGCCAGGGATGGGACTTTTCTTCAGCTCTTTCCCCACAGTTCGGCCCACTGCATAATGCGGGATAGTATATTGTGTGGGGCACCCCTCAATAATAGAAAATAGGGAAGAGGGACAAAGAGGACACGGCATGGATATTTAATGCACAAACTTACGAGTGCAGAAGGAGGCTGTGTATACCTTCCTAATCTTAGTAGCTCTCAAGACTTGATTGTCTCAGGAACTAAGTAGAATGCAGAGTGTTTGCATATTCTTGGGGTGTCTTGATTCAAGAGAAGGAGGAATCGCTCTGCTTGTTGGTCCCTTCCAAGGAAAGTATGCCTCTCTTGTTTGTCCTGAAGAGTCAGCTCTTCACCCGTTCAGCCAGAATGATTTAGGAAACAAGTTGTATGCAAGACACTTGGTTATGGCAATGAGGATTGCCTCTCCTGGAATACTTGAAGGAGGCAGAGACAGTAAGCCCAGGAAGGATGGAAGCCCTAACATTTAATCAAACAGGGGCGTGGGGGTGGCATTAACAACAGTGAAGGGAACGGACTGACCCAAAGGTAAACGTTTTTGCTTGTGGAACAGTCGTCCGAAAGTTCCCTGAAGAACAACCTTGACTTCCATTTCCATGCAAATCTATCCTGGTCATTTACCTTTTCTAATACTTGAATTAGAACAATGACAGCCACATATATAAACTGGTCAATCACATGTGTAAGAAAGTGTTCATATTGTCCAGTGGTTTGTAGGGGTTTTCATGGGAAATCCCATACTGTGTGGATTTGCATTATTTCTTAACTGCAGTATTATATAAATCTTCCCACTCACCCAGTGCTGCTCTATTTATTATTTATTATTAGTTTTATTGTTCTATGTGCAACTCAAGTCTGTTACAAATAAATATCTGTCTTCTTAGCAATTGCAGGAATGTAGTGAAGATGAAGAAGATTGTGAATGCTTGAAGCAAGCCATCACAGCTCTCCTGAATCTCCAGTGTAGCATGGAACGCATATATAACAAACACTCACCTCGACGCCGGCCTGGGTAAGAAAATTAACTTTTCGGTGGACTTGGAACACAAAATAAGTTCTGAAAGCACAGGCATCATTTTGCATGTTGTCAGTATTTTACTGCAGTGCATTTTTGAAATTGGCATTTGTTCTGGTTACCGGGACAAGAGGTGTGTTTAAATCAAAGCCAACAGCCCAAGTCTGATCTTTTGGTCCCCTTTGCCATTGAAAACGGACTATATTCGAAGTCCTGTATTCTAACAAAATGTGTGTGTTTTAGGGAGCCGGTGTTTTGGTTCTACAACTGTCAAATAAGAAGCAAACATCTGGCCATTAAAAAAATGAATGAGATCCAGAAGAATATTGACGGCTGGGAAGGGAAAGATATTGGTCAGTGCTGCAGTGAATTCATCATGGAAGGGACCTTAGCCAGAGTAGGAGCCAAGCACGAACGGCATGTCTTTCTTTTTGATGGTTTAATGATCAGCTGTAAAGCCAACCACGGACAGTCCCGCCTTCCCGGCTACAGCAGCGCCGAGTATCGACTCAAAGAAAAAATCATCATGAGGAAGGTCCACATTGTGGATAAGGAGGACGCGTGTGAATACAGGAATGCTTTTGAACTGGTTCCGAAAGATGAAAACAGCTTCATCTTTGCTGCCAAGTCTGCCGAGGAGAAGAACCACTGGATGGCCGCCCTCATTTCCCTCCAGTACCGCAGCACTTTGGACCGGATGTTGGATGCGGTGCTGCTCAAGGAAGAGAACGAACAGCCCCTGAGGCTCCCCAGCCCAAGCGTCTATCGCTTTGCTGTGGAGGACTCCGAGGAGAATATTGTTTTTGAAGACAATCTTCAAAGCAGGAATGGGATCCCCATAATCAAAGGTGGAACGGTCGTGAAGCTCATTGAAAGGCTCACCTACCACATGTATGCAGGTATCGGTGCTTTTTTCTTTTGAGTGACTTCAGGGAATTGTGTTTGTTGCAACCAAGGTAGAGGTCTCTAATAGGTAAAGGTAAAGGTTCCCCTTGACATTTAGTCCAGTCGTGTCCGACTCTAGGGGGCGGTGCTCATCTCCGTTTCCAACCCATAGAGCTAGGGTTTGTCCGAAGACAATTCCGTGGCCATGTGGCCAGCACAACTAGACACGGAATGCCATTACCTTCCCACCGAGGTGGTCCCTATTTACTTGCATTTTTGCATTTTGAATGCTTTTGAACTGCTAAGTTGGCAGGAGCTGGGACAAGCGACGGGATCTTACTCCGTCGTGTGGATTCGATCTTACGACGGCTGGTCTTCTGACCCTGCAGCACAGAGGCTTCTGCAGTTTAACCCACAGTGCCACCATGTCCCTAATCTAATATGAGACGGTGCTAAAAAAATTTTTTTTCCTCTTTGCTTTCCCAGATCCAAATTTTGTACGGACTTTTCTTACTACATACCGCTCCTTTTGTAAGCCACAAGAACTCCTGGATTTATTGATAGAGCGGTAAGTTTTTAAAAACTGCCATATGATGATCTGTAGTTGTTTTTTATTCTTATATTTGCAGCAAGAAATGTCTGTTTTGGTGGCCTATATAATCAGTTCATATTGGCATACGTATTCATTTGGTTCAGATCTCTCCTCTTCTCCTCTCCTCTCTTCCTGGGTCCATGAAGTGATGCATTTGAAATAATTCTGTTGTTTCGCAATATAATGCTGAAACAGTTCGTACTAAATTGAATATAGAGCATGTTATCAGTTAAGAAAAGTTGTGATACTGGATTTTAGCCAAAAATTGATTTCTTAAGAGAGTGGAATCTTTCTTACAGCTTGGTGGAAAAGGATAGGAAACGTATGTTGTTTTTTCTACTGGAAGTATATTTGGCTGATACAGAGCTACAAAACTGGGGTTAGGATTATTAAATATTGGGTTGTGTTTTTTTTTGTGCATGTTCCCCAAGATCAGTATTTTAAATCTGTCTTCAGTAGCTGCGCGGCCGGGGTGGCTACATGACTCCCAAAACGTCCTGGGGTGGTACTCCTTTCTTTGCATTTTGGGCATATTCACCTTCCAACTTCTTTTGATTGCTAGCTTTGAAATCCCAGAGCCTGAGCCAACAGAAGCCGACAGGCTGGCCAGTTTTTTTGCATGTTCCCCAAGATCAGTATTTTAAATCTGTCTTCAGTAGCTGTGCGGCCGGGGTGGCTACATGACTCCCAAAACGTCCTGGGGTGGTACTCCTTTCTTTGCATTTTGGGCATATTCACCTTCCAACTTCTTTTGATTGCTAGCTTTGAAATCCCAGAGCCTGAGCCAACAGAAGCCGACAGGCTGGCCATCGAGAAAGGAGATCAGCCAATCAGTGCGGACCTTAAAAGATTCCGGAAGGAATACGTCCAACCGGTGCAGCTCAGGTATGCATTTCTCTTTCTTTCGCAGGGTCCGGGAGCCCCCTTCAAATGATGGGACACAGGGGTGTAATCACTGTCTGTGAGAGAATACAAAACTCTCCTCGCTTGTAACACTGACGGAGAATGTAAGGCACTGAGTGCTTGTCCATAGAGTTCCTGCATGTGTGAACCAGGAGCTTATGTGTAATAGTAGCAGTATATCCTCAGACATTTAGATTCCTTTTCTCAGTCAGGAGCATCAGACCGGATGCACTTAGGCAGATCTCTCACGTTGGCCCTTTTGCAAATGTATGAGAAGGACGCGCGCCAACCTCCCTGATAGGTAGATAAAGATTACTGAGGTTTACAGTGCGTAGAGCACTTTTGAACTGTCTGTCAGGAATGTGCAATAAGCCTGTATTACACTAGCTGATAATAGTACTATATCTTATATATTTGCTTCCTTCGTCTTCGCTCTCTCTTTGAAATGCATTTAGAATCTAAAATTTGAGTATTTATTTATTTATTTTTTAAATAAGGCTCCCAAGATAATAGGATAACATGCATGTTGGAACAGGATTTGTTTGGCTGTTGTTTTAAGGGGAAATTGGGGGTCTATTTTGCAGTTTACAGACGTATAGTGTGGAAGTAAGCCTCCTTGAACTCAAAAAGCTTTTACTTCTGAAGAGATTTGCATAGGATTATTATTTATTTGTTTATTTATTTTATTTATTTATATCCCACCTATCTGGTCAATTACGACCACTCTAGGCAGCTTATAAAAGCCCATGGGGCTTTTGTGTGTTTTTGTTTTTTGTTCTGTTGTTGTTGTTTTGAATGCAGTAGAAGAAAGTGATCTTATGCTAAATTAGAGGGTTTCCTTTTTGGAGGAAAGACAGTAACTTCCATATATGTTCTAGAATGAAATCACTATTACCGGGCTGTAGTGATTTCTTTTTTTTTAAAAAAAAAAATCCATCTTCTCCAGTGACTACAGCGGTACCTTGACTTGAGAATGTCCCTACAGAAGAACGATTCGAGTTAAGAACAGCTCCGTTTGCAAAAAGTTGCTTCGACTTGAGATCGGAGCCTCAACTTAAGAACAAAAAAAAAAAAACACCCTTTCCTACCCTGTTTTTGACGTAAGTTCACCTTATGTCAAAAGAAGAAGAAGATTTAAGAACAAAAAAACACACCCTTTCCTACCCTTTTTTTGACCTAAGTTCACTTTAAGTCAAAAGAAGAAGAAAAAAATTGTCCCCTAGTGGTAGATACGGATTAAAAACAGTGCCTCGACTTAAGAATGAAAAACAGCAGATACAGATTAAATGGTTTTCAGTGCATTCCTATGGGAAATGGTGCTTCGACTTAAGAATGTTTCGACTTTATAACACAGTCCCAATACGGATTAAGTTCTTAAGTCGAGGTACCACTGTACTAGGCCACATGGAATGTTCCAAATAGAAATCTCAACGGGGCATCTGCAGCGGCTGCATTGCATTTCCGAAAGACAACATCTAGCTCACCTCAAGCTAGAAAGTGTGAGATTTCCACCTTAGAAGTATAGGTCTGTAAAAAGGTGGAAAGTAGACATATACAACTATCCTCCCCCACAGGTGGACATAATGAGGGTCTGGCCACCTGAGGCAGGACCATCCACACACTGTCCGCTGCTGCAGCGGGCTCGGCACTCCCTTCCTTTTGCTTCGGAGCGCCCAGCCAGCCAGCCACTCTTCGACCTGTCAAAGAGGCTCCTCGTCCCGCCTCCTGCCAGGAGCGCCTAGCCAACTGAGCTCCGAAATGATAGGGAGTGTGGGGCCCGCAGCAGCAGCCAATGGTGAGTGGATGATCCGGCCCCAGGGGGCTGGACCCTCGTTATCGCCACCTGTGGGAGGATATTCGTATATTAATACCCCCATCTCTAGTGGAAACTTTCTATACGTCGTTCACCTTCTGTCCTGAGTTTTCAGAGTAACATGATAAGGGAGACAGAAACGTTTACCCAAAGTAGCGTAGGGAAGTAGTTTTCCCTTTCCTTGCAAAAGACACGAGCACCATCTGTCTGGGCAGTTGGATCCACAAGGATTTAATGTTTGTAAAAACACTTGAGGCTAAACTTGGTGGCTGGCAAATTTTTCCACATTATAGCCCATGCTAGAAAATGCCATCTTTCCCTATAGCTCTTGCTTTTTCTTTGGTTAGATGTCAGGGGGAAGAGTAGCAGAGATTAAAAGGGTGTCATTTCACTCTCTCTTATTTCTGACCCCTCCAGGATATTAAATGTGTTTCGGCACTGGGTGGAACATCATTTTTATGACTTTGAAAGAGATCATGAGCTTCTTGATAGACTGGAAACATTTATTTCTACTGTAAGAGGTATGTGGCTTTAATTGACTCGAATCATATTGTTCCAATCCAGGTGTTCCACTTCATTCGATTTGCGGGTTATTGCCTGATCTCTCACATGTAGCTTTTCTTGAAGCCCTTAGTGTTTTACTTACCGTACTTGGGCTGTGCCTACACATGCATCTGAAGACAATGGTATTTACAAGTGCTGCAAGCCAATGGTCTGATGTCAATTTCCTGTCTAATTCACTTTCTGTTTTGCAAAAGAAAAACACAGCACTGGGCAGGAGGGCTCCGAATATCTTTGGATCTGTTTGCTTTTTAACAGGGGAAAAAATTCATGTAATCCTTTACACAATTTTTTTAAATAATACAAACAGCTGATTTCCTTCACTTTATAAGAAAACTGGGTATGCTGTCACATGTAATACATACAGACGCTCCTGTCTTTCATTTACTCAGCTGGATAAATATTTGTGTGCTTGCCGGATGAGAAGGGCACACACAGGGCTCCTATGTGGAAGATACAATCATGTAGGAGATTGTGGGAGCCCAGTGATTGTGTACTTAAAAATGTAGCTGGTGGAAAAGGCTTGGTTGCCAGGAGGTCAGTGCTCCTGCTGTGCCTGTGGAAACAGCTTCCACAAGTCGGTGCAGGTGGGAGAGAACAACCCACCTCCTTTTCTGCTGCTACCACAGACCATACCAGACACCTCCTTGGGTGGGGTGGGGCAGGAAAGGGCTCTCGTGGGGAAAAAGCATCTTCCTTTGCCTTTGACTAGCACAAGCAGAAAATCCGTTCCCCAAGACCATAGAATCAAAAAGCCGAAGTGTGCTGCTTATATACTGCCCCATAGCACTTTAAACTCCACTCTCTTGGCAGTTTATAATTTAACTATGCAACTTATATATGCTGCTCCCCCTCCCACTGAGCTGGGTACTCGAATTACCGACCTCGGAAGAATGGAAGACTGAGTCAACCTCGAGCAGGCTACCTGAGTCCATTGGGATTGAATTCAGGTTGTGAGCATAGGCTTCGGTGCAGTTCTGCAGTTTAACCGCTGTGCCACGGATCAGTGGAGACATTTTCTTATTCATGTATTATACACAGGCTGAAGATTTCAGTTTTTCTTGACATAGAATTTGTAGTAGAGCGTGTGTGTGTGTGCACGCGCAACCACATGCATTGTGGTGCAATAGGATTAAGAAAGGGGTCCACCCCAAAGGCACCCCTGCTCCTTCTTTCGATCAGTGTGTACACGAGGCTCCATTTGTGTGCTGTGCAGAATCCAGAATGTGCTTGATTTAGACACGCAGTGTTTGGCGTGGACACTGGAAGGGAACTACAGTGCATTGATTAAAAAAACTTGCTTTAGTTGCAGTAGGACTAGAAAACTGTGTCAGAAACTAGAAGAAGTCACTGCCAGGGTCGGCAGGGCTGGGCTGCAATGTGCCACAGTCTACGTTAGCTTCTTATTTTTCCAAAAAACTACTGCTTCATGGCTCTTGTTATCTCAGATTTGCTTTCTCAAACATTCACCACCACCCTCACCCCCAGTTTGATCCCCGTTTCTAACAAGGAAACTTCTCTTTTTAATGTTTGCTCTGTGTGCGGTTCAAGATCCACTTGAATAACTCTGCGGTAACACACTGAAGTGCAACTGTACAAGCCTTCCCTCCGTGTCTTCCAGGCAAATCTATGAAGAAGTGGGTAGAATCCATTGCAAAGATAATCAGGAGGAAAAAACAAGCTCACGCCAATGGGGTCAGTCACAACATAACATTCGAGAGCCCCCCGCCACCCATCGAGTGGCACATCAGCCGCCAGTTTGAAACGTTTGACCTCATGACGCTGCATCCCATAGAGATTGCTCGGCAACTGACTCTCCTGGAGTCTGATCTCTACCGGTAAGGCTGTTTTATTGGGATGCCGATTCCCTGCATCGTACCTCTGAAAGTGATAATTGCAATTCAGTTATGCAGGCTGCCCCCTGCCCCCCCCAGTGATCTGGGTGCTCAATTTACTGACTTCAGAAGGATGGAAGACTGACTGAACCTCACACAGGCTCCCTGGGATTGAACCTGGGCCCTGAGCAGAATTTTGGCTGCAGTCCTGCAGTTTAACCACTGCACCACAAGTAGGATTAAGGCTTAAATGCCTTCAACTTTCTGTATCTCATATCCTCTCCTGCTTTCTTTCTTTTTTTTTCAGAGCTGTCCAGCCCTCTGAACTTGTCGGGAGTGTGTGGACAAAAGAAGATAAAGAAATAAACTCTCCAAATTTACTGAAAATGATTCGGCATACAACAAATCTTACACTTTGGTTTGAGAAGTAAGTGCTGAATTAAGCTGAATGAGGAGATACAGTGGTGCCCCGCATAGCGACAATAATCTATTCTGAAAAAATCGTTGCTATCCGGATTTGTCGCTATGCGGGACTAAAAACCCCATAGGAATGCATTAAAACCTTTAATGCATTCCTATGGGGGAAAAACTCACCACTATGCGGAAATCCTCCATACGGTTGCCATTTTAGCCGCCCGGTATGCGAGGAAACCACGTGAAAACGCTGCGGGCGGCCATTTTTTTCCCGGCGGCCATTTTGGAACCGCAGATCAGCTGTTTTTAAAACATCGCAATGCGATTTTTAGCCATTGAGAACATTGAGAACATCGTTATGCGATCACTTTTGCGAACGCAAAAAACGCGTCGCTATGTGGATTCATCGTTAAACGGTGCGCTCGCTATGCGGGGCACCACTGTACAATGGAATAGGATTCTAGTCATCACTTCCTTAACTGTTGGGGGAGGCCTGTTATGGACAGCTTATATTACAAAACAGTTACTGATTTTTCCCCCTGTTCAGTTCTCATTATTATTAAGGCCAGAATGTTTGCAGCAGGGTGTAAAGGTACTACTGCTTCCTCAGCAGGTATTTTCTCTCTCTCTCTCTCTCTTTCTCTCTCTCATTGCTTTTATTTGGATATACTGTATTCTTCCTTTTTTTAACATTTATCACTGTAAACGTCCTTTTGAAAATACAAAAGTAGGACTCATTATAAAACTATTTAGAATAAAAAACCACAAATAAATATCAATCCCACCCCCATTTGCATCTAACGGTTCAACAGCTGCATTCTGTTTTTAACTTTTAAGCAGAAGAGAGGTATGGGCTTCTTAAGCCTCCTGTTTTCTAATTGGCAGCGGGATTGACTACGTAACCTTTGAGGACCTTCCTAACTTCACAGTTCTGTGAAAAGCCGTGGTGGGAGAGTTGCACATCCTGTTTCTGACATTTTACTTTGCACAGCTGTCTTTCCAGATTTTCAGAACAGCTTTAAATTGCAAAGAATTGAAAAGAGATTAAAAAGCAGTGGGTAGGCATTTCTTTTTTGGGGGGAAAAGAAGTATGGAACTGTCAGGTATATTCCCTTGGTTTGCCAGATGGGATTTTCTTGATGTTCTAATTTATTCTGCACATGTGCACTTAGATATTTCATGCTGTTTTCAGCATGGCACAAGGGACAGAACATTGAAACAGGGAAAGAACTCCATTCAAAATATTGTTCACTCACTCAACCCTCAGTGTAACGTTTTTAGTGTGAGAATAAAAGGGGTTAGCGTCCTTTTGTGTGGCAGCCTAAGCGCCTTCTGCATATGGAATCTTTTAAAAAAAAACTCAGCAAAAAAATTGTGCTTCTCTTCTCTCCCCCCTCCCCCCAAATTTCTCATAATTTAGGTGTATAGTAGAAACGGACAACTTTGAAGAGCGGGTGGCTGTGTTAAGCAGAATCATAGAAATTTTGCAGGTTTTCCAAGACTTGAATAATTTCAATGGTGTGCTGGAGATTGTCAGCGCCATGAATTCCGTCTCTGTGTACAGATTGGATCATACCTTTGAGGTGAGTCTTCTTTCTGTCTTAGCGATTCAAATGGAGCCGGTCACTTTAAAATCGTATTTAATGGCAATTGAATCTCAATGCAACTATGCGGTGGCGTGTAGAGAGTGAGGGATGGGATTGCCTTGTTTTAAAAAAACAAGGTTATATTTCAAGAAGCAGGTAAAGGAAACGAGAAACTGGACAGTTACACTAACATGGTCACCAGGTTGGGCTGTTTTTGTTCTTATATTCTCCAAATGTAAAGCAGCAAAGGATTTAGCTTAACATTTGGAGAGATTTGTTCATGCTTGCTTTTACTTTATGTTCTGCCAGAATGAACCCTGGAGAGTGGTGGTTTTTAGGGCAGCCTTTCTGTATTATAAAAGTCTATATTTCATTCCATATGTGACATATTTTATTGGTTATTAGAAGCATCCTTGCTATACCTGGGAATGTACAGTATCCGTAGCATGCTTAGGATGGCTGGCAGACATGAGAGCTGACTATGGAACCAGGTTTCAGAAAATGAAAATACAATTTATATCTCTGTTTCTATAAATGTGTTGTCAAGTTGCTTCTGACCTACGAAAGCCCTATAAACAGATTATTAAAGTCCATTTTTAGCAACCCCACTTAACTCTTTAGGAAGCCATAGAAGGACATGGCTTCCATGATTGTGCCATCCCATCTCACAATCAATTTTTCTACTCCCTTCCACTTTTCCCGGCATTATTGTCTTTTCCAGTGCTGCTTCTCAAGATAAGTCCAAAATATTTAATCATTTTAGCTGAGAATTGAGGCTCCTTTTGATCGAGAACCCACTTATTTGTCTTCCTAGTGCTTCATGGTATTTGAATTGTCCCGTCCCCCCGCCGCCCCCGGTCAGCCTTGCACATTGTCTGACTTCCATTGTCCAACTGATCAGGAGTTACCATGGCAACTGATCAGGAGTTACCATATTAAATGCTCATCTTCATTATTTGATATATATAACTCCCTAACTCCCGATTTTCCTCTCTTTCCTCTTCCTAGTGTCTGTCCCTCCTTGACCTAAGTTTTTCCCTTATATAAAATTGTTTTTAATTACATTGTTATATTTTTGTTGTAAGCCACCTAGAGTGGTCTTAATTGACTAGATAGGCGGGA